AAGGAAGGTTAAGGCGGTCCTCCGCGGAGTTCCTTATGAACTCGCAAACGAGGACATTCTGGAAGACCTTAAATCCCAAGGCTTCCCCATAGAGGCTGTGCACAAAATGCACAGCAGCAGGGGCGAGAGATTTAACCTCGCCCTCCTCGTTCTCACCAATGTGCCGGAGGCGAAGGCCATCTTCCGCGAGGTACGCACTGTGTGCGGCCTGTCGCGTGTAAAGGTCGAAGCCCCACACCAGCGCGGTTACCCAGCGCAGTGCCACCGCTGCCAACTCTACGGGCAAGCGGCAGCAAACTGCTCAGACCCACCCAGGTGCGTTAAGTGCCTAGAACCTCATCACTCGAAAGAGTGCCCTCGGCCCAAAAACTCCGAATCCCCACCCGAATGTGTCCTATGCGGACAAACAGGCTACCCGGCCAACTTTAGGGGCTGCCCTCACGCTCCTCGCCCACTTCTGAGTCGCAAAGCTTCACCCCACGTCAATGACCGAACTTTCCCGGCTCTTGGAAGCCGCATGCCCCGCCAGGGCCAGCCCCTACCACAGCCCCCTCAGGGCTCATCTCAGCCCACACAGGGCATCTATCGGCCCCCTCAGGGCCCCTATCGGCCACTTCAGGGCCCTCCTCGGCCCCTTATGAGCCTTCCGCTCTCCCAGCCTGCGCCGCTCCCAATAAACCCTTGGTTCCCAAAGGCAACCAACATCCCGCGGCCCTCCGCCGCCCCACAAAAACAGGCAGACCCTGTAGCAGACGATCTAAGCCTAGTGTATAACACTATGAATAAGATCAATATAGGGGAAATCTCTATCCTTGCGAGTAAGCTGCGCACTGCTCAGTTACCACAGGACCGTCTCCTTGCTCTTTCTGAGCACATCAATCTACTCAGGTCGTTGTAAAAACTAAAAACATTATGCCGGAGGCCCTCCGCTCCCGCAATATCGCACGGTCGTATCAAACCAAAGGGTTTGTCGCTTGTTTCGTTCGATATCCGCGGTTTGCGAAATAACCTCCCAGAGCTTAGGCTATTTCTTCGAGATCGCGAAGCCGACCTTCTCCTCCTTCAGGAGACCCACCTCAGCCCTAAGATCTCTAAAGGCCTCTCAATTAAAAATTATTCACTTCTTCGTAATGACAAACCCGACCGCAAAGGCGACGGTACTGCCATTTATTACAAAAAGTCCCTTCATTGCTCCCACATCCCCACTCCGACGCTTACCAGTATGGAAGCCACTATCACTAGATTAGCCATGACTAGACACCAGCCTATCATTATAGCCTCTTGCGATATCCCTAGCGGAACCCTCCCCGTTAAGAGTGATTTCGAAGCCATCCTTGCATTAAGCGACTCAGTTATTATGTTTTGAGATTTTAACTCCAAGCATACTGAATACAGAAACAGAAACTTTTATTCAATGTAGATTATAACAATACTTATTGAAAGTCACTTTTTTCATTTACCACTGGTTCGCAAAAAAAACCTCTGTCCTAGGAAGAACCAGCAAGAAACCCAGCGGGACTATTTTTTTCCAATAATAGCTTACAATAAATAACACAAGACAAATTAGAAATAGCTTGGTAGCGATCACCCTTCCCAGGGGTTATTATCATCCATAAATTCCTTAATATTATAATAACCCTTTTTATAAAAACTTAGTTTAATAACATTTTTGAACTTCGTGTATGACAAATTTTGTATATTTTCTGGGATTTTGTTGTAAAAGCGTATACATCGCCCCAAGAATAAATTACTGACTCGGTGGAGTCGAGTAACTGGTACTACTAGCTTGTGTCTGTTCCTAGTATTTACAGAATGAATGTCACTTATTTTCGCAAAACTACTTTTATTTTTGTGTACGTACATTACATTTTCATAAATGTATTGAGAGGCCAGAGTTAATATATTAATTTCCTTAAATTTTTGTCTCAGTGACTCTTTTGGTTTTAAATTATATATTCTCTAATGGCCCTCTTCGACCTGCCGCACTACTCAATATCACTCTCTCGACCTGACTATCTACAGCCCCCTCGCTGTCACCCACTATCCCGACAACGTTAACCACGCTCCTGACGTGCTAGACTTTGCTCTAGTTAAAGGAGTCTCCCTTAACCTTAGAGCAATCGAGTCTCTCGATGATCTAGGATCCGACCACCGTGGCCATCAGCCATCTACAACTCCCACTTCCAAAACCTACACCAACTGGAAGGGCTTCAAGAAGTCTCTAGCCTCGGCTATAGACTCTCCGGACCCTCCTATAACTCTTTCTTCCGACGCCCTCGACAATATGGGGAAAATAGACACCGCGGTCGAAAATCTCACCTCACTTATAACATCCTCTCTTAAAGAGAATGAAAAGGTCGTCCCGGTTGCTAAAACTAGTCTTCCACTATATATTAGCAACCTGCTAAAAGCCAAAAAAGCTGCCCTCCGTAGAGCTGCACGCTATCCCACTCCCGAATATAGACTCGCGGCCCACCGCCTTCAACGCAAACTCCGTTACCGCCTTCAAGATTACAGAGAGAAAATCTCTCCCTTCCACACAGCGTACTACCAGATGGCGAGAGCTCTCCGGATAGACGCTATAACGCATACTCCCCCTCTGTCTCGTCCCGACGGCTCTATTGCCTTCGAGGACGAAGAAAAGGCTGAGTGCTTCGCCGACAGCGTCGCCGCTCAATGCTCTCCCAGCTCACAACCCACTGACCCCATACACATCCAACTAGTGGAGGACGAGGTCCGTCGCCTGAACTCGCCCCCCACCACCTCTGACCCTATCACTGTGTCCAAAGATGAGATTTCATCTACCATCAAAGGACTTAAGCCCAAAAAAGCACCGGGTGCGGATGGCATCTCCAACCAAGCCCTCAAATACTTTCCAGAGCAGGTGATCGCCTTATTGGCCATAATCTTCAACGCCTGCTTCGAATTCAGCTACTTTCCCACCTCTTGGAAAGAGGCAACTGTCATTGGCATTCCCAAGCCAGGCAAACCTCACCACCTCCCCTCCAATCACCGTCCCATCAGCCTCCTCAAGGCCATGGGCAAACTTTTCAAACGAGTCATTCTCGTGCGCATGAGGCGCCATTTGTTTCCCACAGACGGCGACCCTCTTGTCATCCCACAACAATTCGGGTTTCGAGCCAAACACTCGTGCCCCCAGCAAGTTCACCGCATAGTGGAATATATCCTCAGCGGTTTTTATCCTCGTCGTCAAAAAACCATCGCGGTCTTTTTCGACATTGCCAAGGCATTCGACAGAGTCTGGCACGAGGGCCTTATCTACAAATTGTATGACTTAGGCCTCCCTGACCGTCTAGTTCGCCTTGTAGCCTCCTATCTGAAGGGTCGTACCTTTCGCTTTAGACACGAAGGCACGCTATCCTCTACTCGTCAAATCAAAGCCGGTGTCCCTCAAGGCTCTGTGCTTGCCCCCCTCCTATATATACTATTCACCAACGACATCCCTATCCCGTCGAATGGTGTTAAACTAGCCCTCTTCGCAGATGACACAGCCCTTTACTCTAAAGGCAACTCACTGCCACAGATTCGGAACAAGATCCAAAAGTCAGTAAGCGACTTAGGAGCTTGGTTCCAAAAATGGCGTATCGACGTAAACCCGGAGAAGAGCTCCGCCGTTTGCTTCGAATATAAACGACGCCGTCTCACCACCACTCCGCCAATCAGGATGTTAGGAACCCCTGTCCCATGGCAAACTAAAGCCAAATATTTAGGCGTCACCCTTGATGCAAGGCTCACTTTCGAGCCCCATATCAAGAAGGTTACTCGCACCGCACGATTTTACATGGGTAGGCTCAACAGCATGTTGGGCAGACACAGTAAAATGTCACTCCGCAACAAGCGAACCCTATATAAGGTCTGCATACGACCTGTCATGACCTAAGCGGCCCCCATTTTCGCACATGCTAAGCCCAAGGCTATAAATGAACTTCAAATAGTTCAAAATCTATTCTGTCGTAGGGCCACTAACTCGCCCTATTATGTCCGTAATGCCGACCTACACCGAGACTTAGAGCTCCCAACAATCCAGCAGTTCCTTAAATCACTCTCTGAGAGATTTTTCAAAGCCTCAGAGTCCCACCCAAATCATCTCATTCGTGAGACAGCTGCCTATGCAGCCCCTATCCACACTCGCTATAGTGTGCGCAGACCGAGAAACTCTCTCTCGGACCCCCCCCCCCCCAACAAGCTTTCGGCTGACCTGAACTGCCTCCTGGCGGCTCAGGCCGAGCCTACATAACACATCCCTTAATCTGCCTTAGTTAGGCACACTTCTAAGCGGCTTTTCGCCGCTTGCGCCCTCCTTTCTGCCAAGGAGGGTCGCGTTCGTATACGGCTTAGAGATCTCTCGTCAGATCGGTAAGCCAATCCATAAAGGCGGTGTTTAGGCGGTGTTTAGTGTCTAAACATAACCACGCAGCCGGCTGCGTGGTATGCTATGAGCATTCACCGCCTCCCTCCCCCGCTTTCCGGAGGGTGGTCCATATTAGCTTCGGGCGCAAAAAAATAGACATTGTAAAAATTATCATGTAAGTGTAAGGCTAAAAATGTATCATTTAATATAACTACTTTTATTGCGTTTCATTTAGTTCATTTTAATTGAATTTCGGGTGCTTTCCAGCTTTTAGAAGCTGAACGTACTCCGGGTAACACTGACATTGACATGAGTGCTGGAAAGCACCTGAAATTAGATAGGAGTAATAGTGTTCTGTGACCTGAAACGTCGGGAAGTAAAATCAACTAACTTTAACGCGATAAGATCTTTACAAGTAGTTTTATTCAATGTGTGGTGTTCGAGTAAATATAAGGAATCATAAAGTATCATTTACTTAAAACACTAAATCTGTATCTAATAAAAGATATCGAGTGTAACACACAAAATATTCAGTCAAATAAATATATCTGAATATACCTTCTCTCAAAAATATCACTTACCAACTCTCAAAAATTTTTGAGGTGTCAACCTCCATCATTTTAATATTTTATAAATTAGATGGCATCATGGGCATCAGAATACCTATAAATAAAAATGATATATTAATGAGGCACATTACAATAGTGGGTTATGTAAGGTATTGAATTATTTACTAATTGCAACTACAAAGTTATACTTGTATGTGTTGACAGTGATGACATATGGATCTGAGATGTGGTTTACTGCTGGACATATAAGGAAGCTCAAGGTCGCGTAGAGTGCTATGGAGTGAGCTTATACAGATATTATCCCATTTAAATTTCTTACTTTTAAATTCCGATATTTTCAGTACTTTGCAGCACCCATAACACCTATGACCATTATAACAGTTTCATTCAACATGTATTTGTATTCTTCATCAGATGTTAAAGTCAACTGCCAGAAATTCACCTCTTGATGGAACTAATATGGAATGCCTTGTTTCCAGTAAAAAGTCTACACTTATCATACAAAACACAGCAGCATTAGGCTGCTATTTTAGGCGGGTATTTTGTGAGAGTGTGGTTCTACCCTAGTCAAGTTGATCCATTCATACTACCACTATAATAAAGCTTCATATGGTTTATAACTACAACACAACATGATGTTAGTCAATCAATCAATCAACTTTTATTTGCCAACCAAGTGTACATAAATGGTCTTATAATAATAACAATTTGTCTCAACTTAGTATTCTTTTTTAGGCATTTCAAATTTGAGAAAGTATAGATAAAATAAGTTATTAAATACAAATATTATAGAGAAATTAGATTAATGATCAAAAATATAGTTCAAAATAAAAAAGGTATTTGTGACATTTTACATAAACACATAATTTTTCTTCTACTGATACTGTCCATAATATTATTGTGTATCAAAACGGCTTTTTCCTCTTTTATGTATTTTATTTGTGTTAAAAATATGTAATTTGTTATTTGTGTTTTGTTACTAGTGCTACAATCTATTCTTTGATTGAATAGAAACATTTTTCAATTAATTAATAATAATGCTTTTAGTTTTTTAATGAATAGTGTAATCTTATTTTCAGTTTTTATGTGGATAGGTAATTTATTGCAAATGTTGTGTTTTTACAGCCATGTAGCGACTCTAGTTTAGCATTTTAATTCTTGATGGTGGTAGGTATAAATGTGTATGTGACTCTAGTTTGTTTTTAATATGTTCAGTGTATGTTTTCCAGTTGATGTGCATGTCTATAGTTATACTAAGTAATTTGAATGTATACACGGTTTCTATTTATATGTATCTTGTGTCAATATTTATGGGGGTGTTTTTGTATGTTCTACATTGGATGGTTTTTGTTTTGTCATAGTTTATTTCTAAGTAATGGTCGTTGAGCCACTGATTTACTGTCTAGTTTCTTGAAGTACTGGTGTTGGGTTTTTGTTTTGTCATAAGTAATCAATATTAATATATCATCAGCGAATAAGATTGGCAATGTTTGTTCCTTATTTAGAACTTTTCGCAAGTGGTTGATGTATTTCACAAATAGCACACAACCAAACATGCTGCCTTGTGGGATTTAAGATTTTATGCTCCTTTTTCAGATCGCACTAATTTGAACTATTTGCGATTTATTTTCCCATATGATTTAAACAATGTGTAAGCTGAGCCACGAATAGCAGAACCGTGTAGATTATGTAAAATTATATCATACAATACTTATCATATGCTTTTGTTATGTCAAGTAATACTCTTACAGTCTTTACACATTTCTTGTCATTTATATGTTTTAGTCAGCCTGGGTATATTTATATAATGCTATTGTAGTTGATCTTGATTTTCTAGTCGTTTTGGCTTTCATCAAGAATATTATATTTTTCTAAAAAATCATATAATCTGATACACATGGCTTTTTCAAACACTTTCGCAAATATGGGTAATAGGGCTATAGGTCTATAATTACTAGGAGTGTAAGTGGCACATATTTAGGAAATGGTATTGTACTATTGTATGCAAATAAGTTTTACCTTCTAATATATTCAGGTGAAACTGGGAGAATCTGTCCATTGTTTGAGCACAAATGCGGTTTACATGTTTTTTCTTTTGGGAATAAGAGTAGTCAATGGTCAAATCAACATATTCTGAAAAATAAAACAATTATATTAAAAGCAGGATGCTTAATATATTATTATTAACAAGACATCTTAGTGCAGCTGGTCTATATTGCCCTTAAAAAAAAAGGAAAATAAAGATAAAAAAGTATAATAAATATTCACCACTGTTAATGATAATAAGACTTGTTCTTTTCTATTTATAGATAACGTCTATTAAACAAGAAACACCAAATGTTTTGGGACTAAAAGAAGGGATATGTTACTAACTAGTTTTGTGTTTTTGTAGTTATTAATATGGATTTATTTTAATTTATAAATGAAAACAGATAAGATCAGATAATCATATAAATTAATTGATTATACATATTGTTAACAACAAAACATAGTAGTTAAACAGTTAACTAAGTGAGTAGTCATGGTTTTATTGGAGAAAAGCTGACAATATAGTCTTTCAAATATGTATTTTCATTTGAAATAAAGACTATTCTACGAGACATGCCAACTTTTTACACAACAAAGTCAGGGTGATATGTTTGAGAGCAAAATAGGTATAAATTTATAATGTACATAACCAAGTAAATTATAATTTAGTACTGTAAAATACATGCTGGGGAATTAACAATTGTTTGTTTTGTGATATTTATTTGGACAGTATTTAGGTACAAATATAAATGATAGTTTATACTTGTAGTGACACTTTGATATTGTCACCATAACTTTCATATTTTGCATTGTAACAGTTTTTAGACTACAGTATGTACAATATGTATATATGACATTACTGGTGTTCATATTAATAAAATTAATGGAAAATTATAATCAACTCGCCTGCCAAGTTTGAAAACCAAGGCATATACACTACTCTTGCGGCAACTATGACAAAATTTTCCCTAAGTGACAATCTATGGGGGATGCCTGCAGTCAGCAGCAGGCTTTCATAGGATGTATATTTAAAGGAATAATTAATTAAGAAAAAATAAATGGAAAAATTACTGACATGATCTCAGCTTCTGTAAACAACGTGAGATATGCATCCTGGTAGGGCAGTTACTTTGATCTTAGATCCTGGTGAATACCAGATTTATTCGGGATAACAAATAAATCGTAGCTCAATGTGTCTGTATCACACGTCATCATCAGCCTGCGGCAGTACACTGCTGGAAATAGGCCTCTCACAAGGCGCGCCACTTAACCCGATCTTCGGCTACACGCATTCAGTTTCTATCAGCCACCTACCACCTTGCGCAGATCGGCGCTCCATCTAATCAGGAGAAGATCAGTAGCTACATATTTATACATTTCTTCTATAATAATTTTCAGCAATTTCTAGCCAACGTGCTTTTGAAGATGGTGGCTTCATTTCCAAAGGTTGAAAAACTTCCCATATTGTTGTACAGGTTTCCTTAACTACGGCTGATACGGTCCTGCTCCCCATCATATATTCAAAGTGTAACTCTTCAAAATTTTTACCAGTTGCCAGGAATCTGAAAAAAAGATATAAAATAATATTAATTACATTTCAGGTGCTGAGGCAAAGAAAAAATGGACACACATGACTACTTTCGAAGAGACTTTTAAAAAAATAAAAGCGCTCCTACAGGCAGTGCCGCTAAAAAGGTTAAAAAATATGTTTATGCAGACTTGTTGTATTTTCTTATACCGCTATTCGATAAAAGAAATACCGAAGGAAACTATCAATCTGATGATTTACACAATAATACTTCACAAGAATCCGAAACGCAAGAAGAACTTAGCATGGAACAAATAGATAGCCATACAAATATATTACAACCTCCATCACCTGTGACTCCACCTGCAAGTAGTTTAAAACGAAACAAAAAAGATATCTCCTCCCAAATACTCAGTATCCTATATCAAAATCAACAGAAAGCCAAATCAGAAACAACAAGAAGTAGAAGACGACGACATGAAATTTTTATTGAGCTTTAGAACACATATGAAACATAATATGAATGAAAATCAAAAAATCAATTTTAAATTGGGAATGTTGCAGTAGGTAAAAAAAATCAATACTGAGTACAATTTCTATCCATATTCTTCACTGAGTTATGATAACTTCAGTCACCGTTCAGTAACGCCGTCATCAAGCCGTGGTTATTCCCCCCCTTTTTCATATATTCCTGTACCAGAAACTTCACCTAATATGTTATATAAAACGCAATCTCCATTGCCAACCTTTAGTTCATCTTCTTCGCAAAATAAAACCACTAATTATCAATCTGCCCCAAACAATTCCAGAGTGGTTATTAACTCTATTACACATCTGCCACTGCTTCAACCACCACGTCATCACTACACATCACCTAATCTTCAACATGCCGAGGATACCGAAGCTGCAACTTTTTTATTTCTACAATCTTAAGGACAAGAACAGGAAGATAATTAAAAAAATATTGGCAAATACCTAAAGTTTAACCAAGATAGTTGATTGTTATTTTTATAAATATAGATGTAAAAATAAAGAGAAATTACCTCAAGGTTATGGTTAGTTTTTCTTCTGTATCCAAAGACAATCTCATGCAGGTATTTTGCTTTATTAATTTATCATGTATGCCATTATGAAGTTCATCAAAAGAATTTATTAACACCTGTAGAAATCAAAGAATTTATCTGGGTGTACTCGTAACTTAGCTCTCTTCAGATAAAACGGACTCTCGTAGATTCTCCGAGTATTCAATGGATGTACCCAATACCGACATTTATTTTTCTTCTTTATTGTCAATAGAAATGGAATTGCTAATAAATCGTCGTCCTCTTGCGTTCACTACGCTATCACCAAAGGTACTCTGTGGCTATCACTATATATATACTGACCATGACCACAGACTCAGTGTTGCCAGATGCCTTGAACCTTTTATCTGTATTAGAAACTGCTAAAATCTGTATTAAATATGTATGCTATTTAAACTTAAAATCTGTATAATATAATAAACCAAAATAGAATAATTGATCATCATCATTGCTTCTTTTGAAAAGCAAGGAATAACTACTAACGTGATAAGCTAATAAGGTTTGATTATCGTTATTAAATTTTTTTTATAGAATAAGGATGACACACGAGCACACAGTACACCGATGGTAAGTGGATGCTGTGGACCATAGACAACTACATTTATCCTCGCTTAAGACTCAAAACGCAGATGCGTTGTCACGCCTGAGGACTAAGATGGAATGATTCGTTTCCAGTAAAAAAGGGTCTCCGGATTTCTACACTCACCATACGAAGCACAGCAGTATTAAGCTGGTATTTTACGCTTGTATTCTGTGAGAGCGTGGTCCTTCCCCGGTCGAGCTGACTCATTGCGTGTGGCTCTACCAAGTATAAAATATACACTATACACTAAATTTTTAATATAGCAAAATTGAACACATTAATTTAAGCAAACAACGTATTAAAACTCAAACATTTGCAACAAACGAACATATAATTAATTTATTATTTTCTTCACTTGTAATTCTGCCGTACAAACTAATTACGTTGTGAAAAAATTAATTAACTATAAAGAATAGAATCATGCAGTGATGTGTGTATCGCGGTATTAGTCACTTATTTTGTTTCGTTCTGTTTTAAGTTGAATATTATGGTAGCCCAATCAATAGAGTTAGAAAACTCTGTATAAAAATCTGTATCCAGTGCTAATCTGTATCACACACCGAAAATCTGTATAAATACGGGGAAATCTGTATATATGGCAACACTGCACAGACTGCTAAGAGGAATACTGACGTGTATACTGTATACATTCCGAATGAAGAAAAACGAACGATTGCGCTAGTCTCACAGAATTCCAAATCGAAATTCGCATTAGGAAATCGAATAAGGAAAACGTATGTATGCGGCCAGCCTTAAAGTTAGTGTTGGTATACTCCAAAATGATTTGATTCGATTCGAACTCACTTTGTTTCGAACTTTTTCAGCATTTGTTCATTTGTTAAACATTTTTTTAGAATAAAAATATGACTTCAAAAACACATTCACTTACTACAAGCGCCATCTACCGTCGGATAGTTGCAGAAATACATTCTGAGAATTCCAAAGAGGGGCATCTACGACTTTTTCTGCCACTAGGGCAGCACCACTTAAAATAAGGCAACTTTGACAGATTTCATATCGGGGACCCTCCCCGATATGAAATCTGTCAAAGTTACATCCTTTTCCACGAGGATCGAAGTGCAACTTTTTTATTTCTAAATTTAAGGAAAGAACAGGAAGATAATTAAAAAATATTGGTAAGTTTACAAGATAGTTGATTTTTATTTTATAAAATAGATTAAATATAGATTAAACTTAAATAGGCAATTTGAAGTTTCATATCGGGGATGGTCATTTGTTCGGAAAATGTAGAAGTTAATATTTCTTTTTGTACTATTAGTTATATTTTATATTAATTAGTTTAAAAATAAATAAACCAAACTCCAGATATTCATCACAGTAGAAAAAATTAAAAAAAATGTGTAAGAAATTAAAGAGCTGAGGCATTGTTTTATGTAATACTCTAGAAACTGATAAACTTTTATTTGAAACGAAACTAACTTCTCAGTGTAACAAAAAAACTCCTTCTCGATGTAAACTAGCGACATCTGGTGAGCAGAAGATTATTTTGAAAATTAATTTGACAGTTAAACCCTAAACGTTTTTCAGATTTTGTCCGGAATAGGGCTGCTCATTTTGAAAGATTATTTCCAAACCAATTCGAATTGAAAAACTTAATCGAGTTAGAAGCATTACCAGAATCGTCATGTAAATCCGCAATTATTTATCCAAAAATTTTTCTAAATAAATAAAATAAAAATCTATTTTTCAAAAATATCTTAAAAAATAGAACATTAGACCTTGTATTTAAATTTGGCACTTCTAGGACAAATTAAGAAAAAGTATTTTATTACTTATTATGAGCGCCATCTAGCGGCATGTGGCTAAAGATCTAAAACTTGGTTCCGTCGGGTATTGACTTGCTGCTTATTTTGTAAAAAATAGTATATACACATTAAATTTTTATTTACTAAAAATCAAATAGTTAATAATTTGTCGATGTTATCGAATAATCTTTTCATAATATTAATTACTTACATCATTCCTAGGAAAGAATGATCTAATGAAACCTACAATGAACAAACCTCCTACCGTGGTTCTACTTCATAATTTTTGTATTAAGAGATGACCATAATCATTGATATAAACATAGACGTATACTACTGGATATGAAACAAAATTTCTATGGATTCTCTCGCAGCTCAGTGGTTTTAGCACAACATACAGAGCGGTAGAATTTAGTTTTACTTTAGGCGAGCCGCCAGTTGTGCACTATAATAATATCCTGCCGAGTTTCTAGTTGCTTAAATAGAAGTTGTCGCAGTCTTTAAAACCTCAAATAAAGATATTGTGTTAAATATTTAAAAGTAGTTCTTTCAATTTTATAACCTTATTTAAAGAATATCTGCTGGTTTAAAAGCTTTTAATAAATTTTTATTGATGAAAGTATGTTTATTGGGTGTGTTAAGTAAAACTTACGAAATATTAAAAATGTTATTTTATTATAATTAAATCATTTAGGACTAGATCAATTTTATTGGGCAGTTAATCGCATTCTCTTTCATATGCACAAACACAAACAGTAAAAGTATTCTGTACATCTCCATGCCTTTACTTTGGCACTTGAGAAGGGCACGGGCGCATGGGCCAAGCGAACGGTTCAGCGACCGCAAAGCGAGTCCAGAATTCCCTCGATACACGTTCAACGTGTTACATCTGGTTGTTCTGTCGCTTCGTTGCCAATTTTCGACAGATTTGCAGTTTCCATTATATTAATCAGTCTATCTAATCCATATAGGAATCCCTCCTCGTGATTCCCTTGTTTCCATAAAGCACGATGGTTAACCACAATGTTTTCAGGCACACGTCGAGTCTTTGCAAAATCAATTAGCCAAGCGCCGACTCGTTCATCATCGTAAATAATGAAAATGCTGCTACCGACGATCTCGTGTGTGCGGAAGAATTCGGAGCGTTCAAAGAGATCCCTAATCTCGCGAAGACGTGACACTATTGCATGGCGGGCGCGCTCATCATTTCCCAAAAAACGCGCTATCGTAGCAGCGAGTTGAAGAGGCTCTCTCACTTTCTGCAGGTCTGTGAGAGGTGGCTGTCCAGGCAACTTTACGGCTTCTATCCTAAATCCTTGCTCAGCGGACGACGATCTCTGCTCTCTGAATTGCATGTAGCGCAGTTTTGTGACGGCTCGAGCAGCGTGTTCGCTCTCGGTTGGGGCATTTGGGTCCAATCGCACCATTTTATCGTACAAGTCAGGTCGAGCACGGGCGTTACAGACTTCGTCTTCAAGGAAGGTACGGGTTCCCATTTTGATATCCATGACATGGGGATCACGAAAACCATGCAGGAGATCCTGTAGCTCGATGAAGTGCTCCCCACCGTACTCCAATTCGCGATAATAGCGTGGAATAGCGGAGCGCATGTGGGGGCAGGCAGCAAGAGCTTCGTAGGCATCGCGCTCTGGGTTGTGCGCGGGATGATCACCAGGTGCACGTCTTTTCCAGACAGTACCCGGACCGGCGGGCGCTAAAGAACCAGGATGTCCCGACAACTGGAACCATTCCGACGATCTAGATTTCAAAAGTGCATCGGAAGCTGGTGCCGATAGCTCCAAAGCATTCTATAACAATAAAAAAAAAAACTTTATTAGCGCGCATTGTAAATCACACGTTATTAGACTGTAATGAATTATCGATTGAGGTTGGAAGTTCTTTTTTCTATTGTATAATTTTTTAACTTTTATTCGTTCAAATTTATATATACTAACTTAAAAATTATCTGAATTATAGTACGAAAAATTTATCCAAATTATTATAAACAACTTTTTTAACTTTTATACGTTCATATTTATATACTTACTAACTTAAAAATTATCTGAATTAAAGTATGAAAAATTTATCGAAATTATTTTAAACAAATAAAATTAACGTAAAAAAATATATTTTTGTACTTTATGTAGTTTGAGATGTGTAAAAGATTTTTTTTGTAGTCATTATGACTAATAAATAATAAATCATTGTAAATTATTTATTATAAATAAAACAATGTTTACTCACAATAGCTAAGAATTTAAGTAAATCCGAAGGCTGTGATGGCGGTGTGGTAGGTACAGGCACGGTTGGAGCAGAATCCACAGACGAGGGTGTTCGTCTCCAACGCTTGAAAAGAGCACCTTCATCTTTGCCGCGCCAACGTTCGTCCTCCTTGCCAGAAGCAACCTGGGGACAATGAAATGCACACGTTGAAACACCATGTCACAAAAACACACTTATGAAACTGTCTTCACTGTAACAAAGACCAAAAGCACTGCACAATTCGATAACGTACCGCTATAATTTTATTTGCGGCATAGAGTAGCCCACCAGGACCAAGACGGCTCAGTACCGATTGGCGGGAAACACTGTTCATCTTGCTGCTGACTGTCATTGCTAACGTGGGTGTGCGGTGAATGCGAGGAAACAAGTGAGCGTAGTTGTAAAGAAACGCGCAAGAAGCGATTGACGTGCGTAAAATAACATCTACAGCTAGTCTAGCCTGCGAGTGGTATCAGTGGGAGGGTCGCGGGTGTTTATATAGGGGCCTCGGCTTTCTCGTGACGTCGTCGCTACGCCCGCACTCCGCTACCGCGCGCTCCTTCAATACCACAATTTTCCTAGCGTCTGTTTTTCTTACAAACGCTAAAAGCTGCATTGACGAATGATGATTCGATCGCTTTTCAAGTCATATCTCACGTTAATTTTAGTCATACGGGTATCAGTATAAAAATGTCTTTCACTGTGTCTATAACTGGGACAGGAGCCTCTTTATCAACGAACTATTCACCGACAATGAATGAATGAAATAAGTTAGAAATAAGTTTGTAAGTGAATGTTCTTTTAAAACTTTAGCGCACACTTTTTGAAATTTCTATTTACTATTAGGGATTCAAATTATAAATATATTTTCACTTAATTCATGCCATTTTATTAAAAATCGCGAATATCTTATTTAAAAACTAACTATATTAAAGAAAAAATTTGTAGTTTTAACATTGATTTTTATACATACAAATTTTCTTGTAATAAACTAAACAGAAAATAGTTTATACAAATTTCTCAAATCTTATTATATAAATTAGGCTTTTCTAATGTTTCTATGACAAGAAAAATTAAATTACAATTGTAATTGTAATCCTCCTAGTAGTCACTAATTGCATCTTTGTGAGAATCGGTTAAGTTCTGCTATAGTAAAATTCTTAACTTTTTTCTCAATAACTCAAGTTTCGTCAAGTAAAGTAACAAAACAAACAATATTGTTATTTTTGCGGACGGGTAAGAAGAATTGATTTACACAAAAGAGTAAGGGTAAAATTTCACAAAACAAACTTATTTTAATTATAAAAGAAAGCTGTTCTTTTTTAGAATCTATAAGTATTTTTAATTACTTTTTTTTTAATATAGAATAATTGTGACAAACGAGCACGCAGTTACCTGATGGTAAGTGGATGCTGTAGCCCATAGAGATCCACATGTATCCTCGATTAAGAATTAAAATACGTTGTCACCTCTGAAGACTTAGATGGAATGGCTCGTTTCCAGAAAATGGGTTCTCCGGTTCTCTACACTTACCATACAAAACACATCAGCATTGAGCTGCTATTTTACGCTTGTCTTCTGTGAGAGCGTGGTCCTTCCCCGGTCGAGCCGACCCATTCGTGCTACAAAATTTAAAGCTGCAGCGTGGCTCTGCCATGTATAAAATGTTATTTTAAATTGCCACTAAACTGATTAATTAAATTAATTAAAAATATATTTTTGCAGTTTTTAGTTTTATTATAATAACGAAAATAAAGGTCCTGAAGTCTTGATTTTACTATAATGTCACGGCTTATGAACAATATTAAAAAATTGTTTGTAGAGTTCGCAAAATGTAGAGTTTAAGTTTTGATAGTACTATTATTTATTCAGCGATCTTTACAAATTCGGGTATTAAACATATCCAAAAGTTATTAATACTTGTAGACGTCAGCAATAGGTTTGAAAAAGTAAATACCACGATATCATTTACCAATAGATAGTAGCTTATCTTGGTTACTTCTAATGACTTGATGAATGGACGGTAGTCGGAATACCTGAAGTTTTGAGATCAAGAAAAATGAATAAGTTATCTTGAACTCATTTGAATGGTAAAATTAAAAAAAAACAAATGACGTATTACACGGTGTGAACAATGACTAGAATATATAGACATAGAAATCCGAGTAACTATCACATCTATTGTGTACATGTATTGTAATAAACAATCTACTATATCTATTATAACATCGAAGTATGAGCGTGATATGGCTGAAATTACATGAGAAGGAAGCGCGACTAGATGACGTCAGCTATGTGTCCTTCTTGCGTGACGCAGAGGGACGACACGGTCCAAATACTATGAGCGACTATGACGCCGGACTCCAGAACCATTAAGATGACCCACGAATATAGCTACCTTCGATTTATCGTTCAACCAATTCAATATACATAATAAAGCTTAAAGATAACTAACTACAAATAAATTAATGAATGTGACATTTGTGTATCCATGTGTGTGTGTGTGGGTGTTGTTGCGTGATTAAAAACTGCAATTATTTCAAATAGACCTAAGTGTCATTAAGGTAATTATAATGACGTCATAAAGATTTATTAAACCATTTTCGGTTACTACTTAATAAGAAACTCAAAATAAGTGTTTTGTTAACTACGCTACTCTCCTTTCTAATCGCCCGTATCAGTTCACTGCTGGTCGTAGGCCTTTCTCGTTGTCAAAAGAAAAGCCGATAATCACAATACTTTGCCGGTGGATTTACAATCGCGGTATCACATGCCTCACAACTTTGATCCTGCTCCTCGTCGTGAATAGACTCTTGGTCATATACAAGACGGTATGTTGTTAACTATTGAAGGCCAAAATTTTGATTTCAGCTTAATGCTGCTGTGTTTCGTATGATGAGTGTAGAGAACCGGAGACTCTTTTTACTGGAAACGAGGCATTCCATCTTATCCCTCACGGGGGTCACGGTTCTTAGTTGATAATAAATGTTGATGTCTATGGTCCGCAGCATCCACTTACCATCAAGTGACTTGTGTGCACATTTATCCTCGATTAAAAATCAAAACGCGGATGCGTTGTCATCCCTGAGGACTAAGATGGAATGCCTCGTTTCCAGTAAAAAAGGGTCTCCGGATCTCTACGTTCACCATACGAAACACAGCAGTATTAAGCTGATATTTTATGCTGGTATTCTGTGAGAGCGTGGTCCTTCGCCGGTCGAGCCAACCAATTCGTGCAACAACCATAATATAGCAGCGTGGCTCTACTACGCATGATGTAATGTATTTAAAGTTTAAATTAAATTGCAGCTAAGTGCATTACGCACAGACTACGCGTGGCTTTAATACCTGTCTGGAGGCCACAGACTTCATATTACTATATCGCTAACACTGCACTTGCGTTTGCATTCAGTGTCGATATATTATTATGTTTTGCGGTCAATGGGTGAAGTAAGGTCAGCTTATAGACCTATTAAATTTTCTACACCCAGTCATCGAATCTTATCTTTTATGCAAGTAACAAATTTTGCATGGAGGAAGGTTAGTTATCCATTCATTCATGAATTTAAAGGAATACATTGGTTGCCTGGAATTGATAAGAATTTAAATGACATTAACGGCCAATATAAACAATGTTAATTTGTTGGAATTGTAGACGGTAGGACTACTTAGCACCTGTTACAGTCGGACAGTGTTCTGTGTTGATTAAAACTAATTTTACGGATTTTATCGCTTAATTTAATTTTAATTATTTTTATATTTATTCCCGACGTTTATATATATATATATATATTAATTGGTTTAAGTTTTTTTGGTGGTTCAAGTCTAAAGGCAAAGCCAGTACATTTACAGGCTACTATGCGATTCAAATAAGAATGCAGTTGTTGAGTGTAGAAAATTTTATACGTGTTAGAACCATGCTGCAGTTATATTAGTAGTATAGTTGTAACACGAACGGGTCGGCTCGATCGGGGAAGGACCACGCTCTCACAAAATACCAGCGTCAAATAGTAGCTTAATGCTGCTGTGTTACGTATGGTGAGTGTAGAGAACCGGAGACCCTTTTTACTGGAAATGAGGCATTCCATCTTAGTCCTCACGGGTGACAACGGATCTGCATTTTGATTCGTAATCGAAGAAAGATGTAGATGTCTATGGGCCACAGCAACCACTTACCACCAGGTGGACTGTGTGCTCGTTTGTCACCCTATCCTATTAAAAAATCTAGTGACGTCATAGCTGTCAATTGAAATTTGTTAGATACGATGAGCAAAACAGATATTTTTAAAATGATATTTATTTACAAAAGAATCATGAATGAAAAAGAATCTGAATCTAGCATTTCAATTTAGCTCATCTCTGCGAAACAAAAGAACCATGAACGAAAAAGAATCTGAATCTAGCGTTTCAATTTAGCTCATCTCTGCGAAACAAAAGAACCATGAACGAAAAAGAATCTGAATCTAGCGTTTCAATTTAGCTCATCTCTGCGAAACAGAAGAACCGTGAACGAAAAAGAATCTGAATCTAGCATTTCAATTTAGCTCATCTCTGTGAAACAAAAGAACCATGAACGAAAAAGAATCTGAATCTAGCGTTTCAATTTAGCTCATCTCTGCGAAACAAAAGAACCATGAACGAAAAAGAATCTGAATCTAGCATTTCAATTTAGCTCATCTCTGCGAAACAAAAGAACCATGAACGAAAAAGAATCTGAATCTAGCATTTCAATTTAGCTCATCTCTGCGAAACAAAAGAACCATGAACGAAAAAGAATCTGAATCTAGCTTTTCAATTTAGCTCATCTCTGCGAAACAAAAGAACCATGAACGAAAAAGAATCTGAATCTAGCATTTCAATTTAGCTCATCTCTGTGAAACAGAAGAACCGTGAACGAAACAGAATCTGAATCTAGCATTTCAATTTAGCTCATCTCTGCGAAACAGAAGAACCATGAACGAAAAAGAATCTGAATCTAGCATTTCAATTTAGCTCATCTCTGTGTCATTGTCTAAGTAGTTATCATTGTCATCATTATCATCACTGCTGCTTTCCCGTATAAAAATGGAATACGAATTTATTTATTTGACTAGTATCAATATTTTAAATTAATTTATAAAAATAATAATGAGCTCTATAGATTTGGTAATACTAAGACTCAGTTAAGTAAAGATAAAAAAATAAGTTATTAATACGCAAATAATTTTTTTGCAAGCTGTACTTCTCAAGTGACAGTTGACAGATCGCGGTCCTTCGAGTCCATTGACGTTCCTATTCTTTCTTATTTGAATCGCATTGTAAGTCGTCCGTTCGACAACGCATCTAAGTATAATA